GCCACCCTGCTGAAGAGCAGCTTACTGTGCAGCAGTGCCCGGCGTAGCCATTTGGTGATGTGGACAAATCGAATATCTACACCCGGTGCATCGTTTCTATTTTTCAGTGGTTAGAACACTTAACTTTCTAAATTAGGAAGAGCTACCTGGAAAAGCTGACACGCACCGTGAGTTTCTGCACCACGCTGCGTTAGGAATCGCGTGAGATGGTGTGTCCCTGTGCGTAATGCCGTATCCTCTTCGCCAAGTTTGTGGAAGCACGGGGGACGCAACCGACACGAAGGGAATTTATTTTCCTAACGTTAAACTAGTCTTCTGCTGTGAGCAGAGGATGGCACTGCAGCTTTGCAATGAAACAAAATGACCTGCGAAGTTCTGCAGGTGCCACCGGCCGCCTGTGGAAGCAGACCATACCTGCTTGCGTTGCTGTAAGATAGGTGTTCCTTTTTTCTATATTTATCGGCCGGTTCAGCTTCCAGCCCAGGCAACTGCTGAGCGTCAGAAGGATTTGTGAGTCCTGGGCCTCCTGATGAAGAGGGGATATCTTCCCTGTAACATTGCATTTGGCATTAGGCAGCTGTCTGCAGCCTCCTTTTTCCTAGCCAGGAGCACGAGACCCTCTCGCGCTCTATTACCTAATATAGCCTGTGGGATCCGGCAATGACCGCCTCGGTGCATCCCCCAAATAATAAAGAAGGGCAAGTGTTTTGCTGGCTAAAATATCGATCTTCGCAGCTCGAAGCTTTTATGGGGCCTTAATATCATAGAAATTAGGAACGGAGAGAACGTATTATTTCTAGAATCTACCTGTCTTGCTGTGCAGCATATAGTCCAGATCAGCTGTAAAATGGATGTATCTGAATGGATTAAGCGCTACCTTGTCACGTCTTTAAATTACACCAGTGTTATTTAGAGCTTTTTGCAGTCCATCTAATAAGTAAATGGATAGGTAACATAATTTGTGGTCTGTAGGAGCATTTTAATTTTGAGTGGACACAAGCGTTGTCATCAGCGTGTCTTCCCTCCCCGTGCTCTCGCAGCCTCTGAAGGCTCGCTCTGCGCGCAGGATGGTGAAGCCGGAGTCCCTTCCCCTGCAGCGCTGCCAGCGCGGCTGCAAACGCTGCAGTACAAATCCTTCACGGCTCTCATTTCAGTTCAGAAATGGTGGCTCTCAAAGAAGTCTCCATTACTACTGAGTGTTGAATAACATGACTCAAATCCTGCCATCAGATGACATTTCCCGTCATCGGCTCGGAGGGCGGTAGTAAGACGGCTCTCCGTGCTCCTATCTTTGTTGTTCGTGAGCCAGAAGCCACTAAGATAAACAGAACCGATTTCATGTTGCTTGTATTTCAAAGGGCATTTCGGTCAGAAAAGAGGAGCAAGGCCGCACCTAGCTGTCGGGAGACGGTGGCTAAACAAACACGCGGACACTAATGTAAACTGCGGCGGCTCCCGGGGAAGGCCGCGCGTCGCTCGGGCCGCGTGCCAGCGGAGTATGTGCCTGGCGGCACCGCTTCCACGCGCGCCTTCCCCAGCGCGTCCGCCAGCTCTGAATCTGGTCCGCTTGGTACGTGATGTTTCCCTTAAGTGGTGCCAAGCTGTTTAGTCTTTCGCTTGCTTTACTGTAACTTCCTTTGTTTAATAGGCTTTTAAGTAGCCCGGTGCCTCACAAAGCAAGGCTGGTGGAGTCCAGCGGCGAGCGAGACGAAGCCACTTCCACGGCCCTCGTTTT